GATTTTAATCAATCACATCAATTATGGTCATTTATATTATAATTGTTTTTATAGTAATCAGGTGTTACACATAAATAGAACAATACATGTTGATAAAGATGATATTAAATTTATTAACTATATGAAAGTATCTAGAAAAGGACTTAAAAGTATAATTAATTATCCGCTTAAAACATTTAAAAATCAAATGGAAGAAGAATATAATTTAGTTGATTCTCATAAAGCTTTATCAGTTCATTTAAATTCAAGATTAAATAAGAAGCGTTTATATGATGATGAATATTTTATAATGAAAAGATGGAATGAGTGTATGATTAAAGAAAAGAATCCAATCACTGCTCTTAGTATAATTTTTAATGAATTTGGTTTGATATTACAGACTGTTAAATTGATGGAAATTTTATATGAAAGAGGTGTTTTAAATACAAAAGAATTAGTTGATATACTTGAATCTTTAAAAGGAAATTTTAATGATTAATCTCTTTAAATTTCTTATCAACTTCAGTTAAGAATAAATTATGATCTAAAATACCTTGATCATCAAATAGATCAAATACACTTTTAATGAATTTTTTAGGCAAGTTAAATTTATCTCTCCTATAAATCAACAGTAAATAAGTTCCATCATCAGATATAGAAGAATAAAACTTATAATCTTTAAAATACATCATTCCCATATCAAAATAACACAGATTTAAGTAATAAAGCACTGATAATACTCCATACAAGATTAACAAGTAGTAACAAACATTACTTATTTGTTTGTATTCATACATGTTAACTAATAAATAAATAACACCACTGATTAAATTAGTTGCCATACTTATTAAAATCTTAATGTTGTCATACAGAAATGATTGTTTGTATCCCATATAAGTTAAATATTCACCCAGTAAATTGTCTAGATTTAATTTAAGATTAGATTTAGTATAAATATCTCCTTCAATGGGTGATTTGTTATATTTTAATGTGATCTCATCTAATTTCATCTAAAATATGGGTTTTAAAATTAATTTATTTTTATAAAAAAATGATGTTAGTTAAATTTAAATGATAATTATTTTATTTAAATTAAAAATTAAATCTTAGTTATGATTCTTTAAAATTAAATAAGTATATTTAAATAAAATATTAAATAGAAAAGGTTGTTATTTATAACAAAGAAATGATTAAGAAAACTGTTTA